AGGATTGCCCAACCTTCCTTCCGAGGAGTGGCTGGTGGGTTTGAACCGCCAGCCATCTGGTTAGCAGGCAAGTGTCTTAGCCACTATGCTACCAGAGTAGTATAGCATATATAACGATGGAAAATATAGTAAAACAAATATATTGAAAACAGTCTTCAAGTCAAGAGCAGGACGATATTTCTGATAGGACTGTAATATTTGCCATAGTAGCTAATACAACTTTCTCTTCATGGATCATTTTATCTGTATTTTCAAATCATAAATTTGGGGAGAAAGAGCTAAAACATTTGACTTAGTTGACAAATCTTTGATAGTTGATGCATCTACAAAATTCAGCATTTTATTACTGTCAGCATTATGCATTTAAATGAATGCAGCCTGGTATCAAGAAAGGAAAAGACCATATTGAAGAGAGGGAAAAAATAAACCACTGACTTCTTCATGAGTAACACTTAAACTGTTAAACACATTAAAATCCCATTTAACAAATAGCAAATCCTAATGAACATTGGGACTGCTCAGTGAATGCTAATGTGGAATATTACTAGGAAAGATGTTTGAGTATTGAAATTTCTCATAGCTCAAAACGGCTACACAGATTAGGGAGAGGAACATCTGTTGTCCAAAAGACAAATGACATCTGGCAGTTCACTGAAAATATTTTTATTTTTGCATCTTTATTTTTAAAATTATTCTATAATTGTCAGTTCTTCCATTTTATTTTGAAGTATTCAGACACTCTTTAAGTTTTGCTTATCGACTTAATACTGAAAATGCTGGGACTGTATCTAGATACAGTTGACAAGTCTGCTGTTTAGTAAATTGTGACACTGTGTTGTATTATAATCAACTAGTACATCAACCATGAAATCATATAATTCAGCAATTAAAATGATCAGAAATATAGGCTCATCAAGTGACAGTCCATTAATTCAGGTAGTTAGATGTCACAATACATTCAGGTGAGTTTTGACCTCTGTCCTTGAGTTCTAAATTTGTAACATTTCTTAATTTACTTTCTGTGTTCTATCAAATGAGTAATTTGTCTTATACTTACCTGATTTTTTTATCTGAAATGTGGATGCTAGGTTTTACTTTATCATTTGCCATGCAGTATGTTAACCATTGTTTATAATATAACTGCATTCTTTTCATCTACTCATTCATTCATTCATTTATTTAGTCTTATATGCATCCATCTATCCAAAGAAAAATTCACTACCATTGCATCAGATCCAACTCATAACGACCCCTCCTTGGGTTTCTGAGGCAGTATCACTATGGAAGTAGATTGCCCAGTCTTCCTTCCAAGAAGTGGCTGGTGGGTTTGAACTGCCAGCCTTCTGGTTAGAAGTCAAATGCCCTAGACACTACGCCACCAGAGCTCCCAATCCAAGGAAAGTGCATTATGTATGTATTGAGACATTTATGCCAGGTACGAAACAGATGTCACAACAGTCTCTGTTCTCAGGGACTGGTTCATAAGCTCAGGCAGCATAAGCAAGTGCTATCCTTAGCTCGGTAACTCTTTGAAACCTTATGCATTAAGAAGGACTGGTCCCTCTGACAATGTGACCAAAATACTTGAGACAGTCCAGCCATTCTCACTTCTAAGAAGCATTCCTGCTGTGCCTCTTCTAAGACAGATTTATTCGTTCTTTGGGCAGTCAATGGTATTTCCAATATCTTCTTCTTTTTTTTTTTTTT